TTGGATTGTTGACTGGAAAAACCGCAGGTTTTGGATGTGATTTCTTTTTTACACCAGGTCTTGCACTGAGTCTACATACCCTGTGGCTTAAAGACTTTTTACCAAGTGCCCTAAATGCGCTTGCCTAGATACTACGTTTGTCAGGTCTTACCTGACTCATCATGACTCTATCATCCACAGTAGGTGGACTGACTGCTCCATATTCTATGTGGAGATCAAGCCTCTAAATACGATTCCAACATTACACTATTTCCAAAGCTCGCCTGCATGCTTTCCTCATATCGTCCACAGAGTGTTAATCTGCTTTCTCCTCACCTACAAAACTCTGTTAGCAAACCGCCACCATCATGTATACACAGAAAAAGGATTACTCACCAAAGGTGCAACGAACAAGACACCAACAAACAATCCCACCACAGTCAACAACATGGAAATCTTGTTGAATCCCTTGCCGAGCACATCAAACGCAAAACTAGGCGCAACCCTTGTTCCGAAGATGTCGTGGCCATATGCAAACACCAGACTGGTACTTTCAAGTCCGCTTTCACTGGTGATAATCTCCTTGATTCCAATCACCTCGTACTTGTGGGTAAGGTGCCACTTGGGGTCAAAGTTGATAAGAGGTGCGTACTTGACTAGACCCTCGGATTGCTCTTGCGCAGTAGGGTCGCGACCAATAGGTCGGCGAGGATCGATGACTGAGCGAGGAATGCCCATGATGGAGTTGATGGAGGGGACGGTGACGAGGAGCTCGCGGCTAGTAATTCCCTGCTTGGTTTGTGTCACGGTCATGTGCGAGATTTCAGCTGGTACTTGGTAGCTTTGGGATACGACCCAAGGTCGCACAGCATCGCCGGGTGCATCCAAAGGCTGTACTGTCGACGAGTTGGAGGAGGCGCCAAGTGGACCTCTGTCGTCGGGGAGCGGGGACTCGTAAAGATCAGAGACAATAAGCTGGTGACCACGTGAAGCCGAATCCGAACCCGCATCAATGGTCAGCGCATATGTGAACCAATTCTCCGAGATGGTGGCCGGAATGGGCCGAGAAGTGTCGACGCCATTATGCGACACGGTATGCAACAACTGTCCCGAGGCAGAGTCGAGCAAGTAAACGGACGCAGACCGTGTCGATTCAACAACTGTCGTGACCAAAACTAGGTTGGGGTTGAGGTATTTGTACAGCACCCTTCGGTCGCCGAGCACCTTACCGATAGAGGCAACGGGGTCTTTGACAGGTCGAGCGACATAGTTGACGATCCGCTCCTCCCCAGCAGGACGGAAGCTCCACACTGGCTCAGAGCTGGGCTGATTCTGTAGATAGCCTCTGAGTGTTCCATCTACAAACGTGAATGCTACAAGGGTTTGTCCCTCAGAGACCAACGGAGTTTCAAGCTTCACATTCGCAGGCGAAACAAGGCTACCTGTGGTAGAGTTGATGACCAATGACTTCTCGGACACAGCATCCTTGACTTGGACATAGCCGCTATGGGCCTTGAGGCGAGGATGTTGAAAGTCGTTGATAGGTGCGAGTTTGCCAAGATCAACATTCCACATAATCTTGCCCCGCGAGCCAACATCAAGTGCAGCAAGACGTCCTGTATCAGTGGCAACAACAACGAGTTTGTGGAACCCAAATGTGTCTTGCTGGATTTCACCGATTGTCGTCTCTTTGGTCTGCCCAATGACGCTACCGAGGAGTCGCTGGGGTAGTCCCTGCACCCAAGCTGGAAAATGCTTCAAGTCTTGAATGTGTCTTTGTACGCGGTGCATGTAAGCCGAGACTAGGTTGCGATGACTTTCGTCTGCAAGCGCTTGCGCTAGGGCCTCTTGTTCAGGAAGGTCAGCCCATACCGCAGATACAGTCCGTGCGAGAAACTCTGGTCTTGTCCAAGCCAAGTCGTCATTTCGGAGAAGAGCCCACTGCCCGTTGGAATAGAGGACCGACGATCTGATAGCGCTTGCAGTGGCATCTCGTACGACAACCTCAGATTGCGCATGAACAGGGTGGGCACCGGCAAGTGCGGGCGAGCTCTTTACGCTCCAGCGGCCCAAGAGGTCGTTTGAGACGGATGAAAAGACCATCATTTCCTCTTCTGTGATCCTGGTAAAGTATACGTTTGCGTCTGAAGTGCTCGTGGAAAAGGTTCCCTTTATCTTGAGCTCTGGCAGGATATAGGCCTTGGAGACGGTGTTCTTCTTTAGGTCGACGTGGAACACCTCGGCCAGGTGACCAACGGCGGTTTGGTACTCGACGAGGAAGTGGGCGCGAGAGTTGACATGGCTAGGAGCGTGAAGCACGATGCTCTCTACGGCGACATTTTCTGGGGTCGGAAAGCTAGACACGGCCTTTGTGCCTATGATGTTCACCTTCAACACCTTGTTCGCCTTGTCGGTCCACACCAGCAGCGGGGCAGCAGTATTGGCTCCTGCAAACAGGATACGGTCACGGGAGGATATTTCGGCGTCGGAGTTTAGTGTGTACTGGTCGAGCTTCTTTCCTGTTATGGGGCTCAGCGAGGTGATTCGCAGCTTGGAGGCACCGAGCACAGGCGTGTGGAGGGCGATGTAGTAGATTGTGGTTGGCGAGGTCGAGAGCTGGAATGGCGTGTCTCCGCTGTCATTGAGTTAGTCGGTGTTTTTTTTTGGGCACAAGACAATGGTATTGCCTACCTTGTATCCTCGTGTGTCCACTTGGCCTGCCCAGTCTTTCCATCAAGCCTCTTGACGCTGAGACCAGCGTCGGTGGCCAGCAGGACGAGAGGGTCTTTTGCTGCATCGATTGACATGCCATCCTCCTGCTCGAGTATCTCCAGATCTTCAACGCGGGCAGAGGGGGTGCTAGTCTCCCAGACGAGGCGGCCGTCGGAGGCACTCCATGCGACGACGCGTTGGCCGAGGGCGCTGATGACGGTGTCTTGCTCGTTGCCGGCACGCAGATGGGCGACACGGTCAGCGGCTGCGGGAAGGGAATGGCGCCATACTAGAGCACCGTCCTTTGGATTGATTGCGGCGACGGTGTTATTATCGGATAGCGAATAGAGCAGCGAGGCCTTTGAGCCAGGGTAGGGCTTTTGGAAGAAGGTGGCATCATGCTTGGGGAGGCCTAGCAGGGCGTAGTGGAAGTCAATGTGATGGGCTTCGTCCTCGAAGACAGCCGCGGCCGGGGCAAGGCATGCTGCGAGGGCGAGGGCAGCATGGAGACGCATTGTATGGTGGGGTAGCAGCGCAGCTGGTCGAGGTTGGGACCGCTGCGGTCAGCGTACGGGTACGATTTGGGCATCACGTGATCAGTGCGGAAAGCACGTGCGCAGGGGACTGCTCCGGATGCATCCATTCAATCAATCAATCAATCATTCACGGGTTGAGGATGGCAGTCAGTCAGTCGATCAGTAAGTCGGTCAGTCAGTCAGCAGCAGCGGCGGCGGCGGCAGGTAGCCCCTGTGGGTATTTGTCGTGCAGATGCCCGTGCTGGTGTTGGCGCTGGTCATGGTGGCAGCCAAAGTCAATTTGGAGGCGAGCATAGGGACCAGCGGGTGGAATGGCCTTGGGCGACTGTCGACTATGGTGCGAGTGGTGTAGTGTTGCGTCTGGGTTGGGCCTTGTCGGCTTCGACGCTAGAAGCGCATCCACGGCGTCAGGTCGATTGTTCCGGCGGCGGCGGCACCACGCGAGCTCCACCGCTATGGCTTCGGAGTCGCAGTCCGTGTTGGCACCAGGGGCCGGCACCGCCTTGGGTTCGCAGCCTCGCCAACCATGATTGCTTTGCTTGTGCCTGTGGATGTGGATATGGATGTGGGTTGTACATGTCCATGTGTGTGCGTGTATACATAACCATGTATCTACACATGCTCCCCACGCATACATACCGAGCATACACACACATACAGAGACATAACAACCCAGCCGTTGCAACGGGCGCCGGCGTGTCAAGCCGTCGTGGCAGACCGGGGGTGGATGGGATGGGATGGGGGGAGGGGGGGCATCTTGGGTGTCTTGGGTGCTGAGTGTGGTCAATGGGGCAGCGAGTCAACTGCCCACGACGCTACCGTCAATCGGGGCGCCTGTGTCCCGCCAGGCCGGGTCGGTTTCGCGGCTGGCTGCTTGACGGCCACAGCTTTATCATGGTGATGGGATTGCTTTTGTCCTGCCCTTCCCCCTCGCCTCTCCCCAAACCCCAAACCGCCCAACCGCCGCTTCACTTATCACCACCCTTGATCCTCTCCCACCAAACCACACCAAACCACCCCCACCCCGCAGGCCCCCCAATACAACCTCGCCCCGGCCCTTTGTGTCTGTTCTGGCTGTTCCGCGGCCTGGACGGGCTGCACCCCAGAGCCGAGAGCGCACGGCAGCCTCGCTGGCAACCGACGCCGCCACGCACCACGTTATCCGCCATATCTTCTGCTAAGCCCTAGCCAGCCTGCTGCGTCTGCGTCTGCGTCTGCTTCTGCTGCATCCATGTCCCCTTGGTCCCTCCTTCCTAATCATCCTCGCTGTTCCCCAATTGTCGCTGCTGCTCCGTCCTGCCTATCCTGCTCTCTGTTGCTATCCTTATCCTGTCCGCTTCCCCCGTCCTGCACGTGACTTGCAGAGAAGCAAAAAAAAAACTCTGTCCCCCCCATCCAGGCCCAGCCTCGCGCATTGCCCATGTGAGTTACACAAACTTTCCGGACCACCTGCATGCCGTCCAGTCGCCTCAATGGCTTGTTGACGCGAGTATTCGAGGCTGCTTTTGTCTGATTGGACGCCACCTGGGTTTAGCAATACATGCGCTGACAAGTGTGGTTGGCTCCCAGCCCAGTACAACGCGCACCGCCCCGACTCAGATCGCTGGTACACGCCTACGCCGTGTCTGAGCAACGCGGCGCCTTTGACAAGCTCCTCCATCTGTGCCACACCACAACCCGCGCAGCACACCGCCACACAGGGTAACAAAGCTTGCCTCTCGCCACTAAATCTCTTCCCCAACCTCGCGACAATCCCTCCAGCTCCTCTGAAGCATGTCGCAACGCGAGTACCACATAGTCGTCCTGGGTTCCGGTAAGCTAGCGAAAACGTGATCAGCAACTAGAACTCGACTGACGGCGGTGGCGCTCCAGGTGGAGTCGGAAAAAGCTGCCTAACAGGTACGTTCTTGCCTCAACTCTACCCCCTCAAACCCTGCCTGCCTGCCAGACATGCTGACCTGACTTCCCTACAGCCCAGTTTGTGCAAAATGTGTGGATAGAGAGCTATGATCCCACCATCGAGGACTCGTACCGAAAGGTCCTCGAAGTAGACGTGGGTACTCACAATCACTACTAGCCAGATTTCTTCACTGACCCACTCTCCCCAGGGCCGTCATGTTATTCTCGAGATCTTGGACACCGCCGGCACAGAGCAGTTTAGTAAGTGATTACATATATAGCCCCACCTCACGTGGATCCAATACTAACACGGTAACAGCTGCCATGAGGTAGAGTTTCCTATCACCCCTACTGGGTAAACATCAAAACTTACACCGACGCAGAGAACTGTACATGAAAACTGGCCAGGGATTCCTTTTGGTCTTCAGCATCACATCAGAATCTTCCTTTTGGGAGCTTGCCGAGCTACGTGAGCAGATACGACGGATCAAGGAAGACAGCAACGTACCCATGGTTCTTATTGGCAACAAGTCGGACCTAGAAGACGACCGTGCTGTACCGCGCCCGCGAGCATTTGCCATATCGCGTGAATGGAACGTCCCATATTTCGAAACCAGTGCGCGAAGGAGAGCCAATGTCGACGAGGCCTTTGTCGACCTCTGCAGGCAAATCATCCGCAAAGACCAGACCGAACGAACGCGCATGGCCCCACCGGATTCCCCGAGGCCTGGTGGTCCCAGAAACAGAACCCACACGGGACGGCCAAAGCGCAAGGCTCACCGGCCCCATTGTACCATTCTTTAAAGCTACGATACCCAGTTGGCGGAAGCATGCACGAGCGACAGCGAGCTTGCTGGACCAGGCGCTGCCACGATTCCTTTCCTACCCTTCCTTCAGACTTTCTTGTATACACTTTTTTTGGTACTATAGAGGCTTTAGACAAACTGCTCACAGTAGCAATTAATCTCATTCATCGAATCCATGGATCCCCCCGTGTGGTGTGACGGAGATGAGTCGACAGATGTGGGTGATGTGATATGGGACGTGAGAGCAGTAGTAGCCGAGGTCGTCGGCTTGGGCTCCAAAAGCAAAGTTTGGGATTGAATCCGGGGCTTGCGGGTTTGGAGTAAAGCAGCAGAGTGTCACAAGGCCACGTCGATCGGTGCAGTGATTGGGGGTATTTGAGCCCAGTTTTGCAGTCGGATGAATCAGTATCGATGTTGCCCGAGCGTGCATGCGCCCCGCAGTTCGCACCATCCTTTGGCCGAGACGATAGACTGGATAGGGAATGGACGACAGAGTTTATCTGGGCCAGTCGGTTGAGAGGTGACATTCATCAGGCGGCAGGAAGACGACATGCGAAGCCAAGATATATGGCAGCATGATCCTAGGAGCCGATTCCAAGGAGTGGTGTCAATTTTCAGTATCAAGATGACATTGCCAACACATTGCCGCAAATTTTCAATTGTGATAAAGCGGGGGTTATTTGATCAAAGAATTTGGAAGAATCAAGTGTAATGGACATGACCGAGGCTCGTTGAACCCAAAAGGAGTAGAGAGGGTACAACTCGAAGCCCTGGATGAGCAAGCAGGTGTTGAAGCCCAAGGTTCAATCGAGGGATGTGGCGAGTGGGTATGCAATAAGCGTACTGTGGACACTCTTTACACAGAGGTAAGCTCTTGTGACGAAGATGAAACGGAGCCTTCATCCCCCGCCACTGAGCTCTGCCCAACCAAGTGCGGGACTGCCGGAGAAGACGAAGCACCATCTAGCCCAAGGGTGATGAGGGGGCGACATGTTGCAGCAGGAAATGTAGAGGATAAAATCTTGGTCGAGTAGGTAAAAGGGGCAAGCAAAAGGCTGCTAGCCCCCATGGCGTTAGCAGGACGTACAAGGTGGCCTATACGATGGCGCAAACACGGCAAACTACAAGTGCTTCCCCCGCTTTACGAAGATGCCAGGTCACGCTGGGATGGGATGGAAGCTAGTGGCGTCAATCACGCATGATTTGCACGATGCAACAAAGCTTGGCCGGGTGGCATTGCGGATGAAGATGCGTTTGCGTTGTATATATCCCGCAGACTAGTCAGACTCTGTATGTATGCAAGTATGTAAGCCGAAGAAGACGTAAAAGCGATCTCGATTAGGTCCGCAGATGACGTCGACAGATCTGAGGCTCCTGGGTTGGTCCCTTGTGGGTGCATTCGCAGGTCATTGCTTGTTTCAGGGAGCGTTTTCACATGCAAACAGCAAAGGAGCCACAGTATGAGTAAAGGACGCGTCGGTGTCGGTCGGAAAGCAACGCCTTCTCAAGGTAGAGAGCGCCCTGCATACCAACAGCTACACGGCGTGCACCCACGGTAGCCGCATGCGTCTAGGAGGAAATTGACGAGCTGGGGGTCCGCGTGACAGGCAAGAATAGGTGGCCTCTTTGGGGCAGGCGATTGCGTGCTTGTTTGTGTTGCAGCGCAGCTGGCAGTGCAGTGTTTGATGCAGATGCAAAGCCGCGGCTGAATGCAGTGACGTCAGTAGAGGGGCAGCAGCGGGGCGCCAACCAGGTACACGGCAAATGCGCTAGCACGCACCACAAAACCCCCATGACGCGATTCGCATCAGATTCGACGATCTACAGTGGCATCTCGCCAAATAAGCACCCCTCAACTGTTTTGCCATTTGCTCCCTTTGGGCTGTCTGCAGCCAGCGGGCCTCGCCCCCACTCGTGCACTGCCATGGTCTGGCCCTTCAGCTCCCACCGACGCTAGCCTCCCTCCCGCCTTCCCTCACCCACAATGCGCTTGCCCAGTGACGTAGCCTGGCCCCCCAAACCCAAACAAACATACGTCACTGCTTTGCTTCTCTCACTAGCCGCTTGCTCTCACCTACGCCTTCTTTGACTTAAATACCACCCTTACCCACCCTCCATCTATCCCTCATTACACTACAATCAACCTTGCAACACTCACATCTACTTCCTCACACTCAAACCAAACCCCCCCAACCAACCTTCCAATCAAAATGTCTGCTCCCAACGCCAACGCTCCCAACGAGGGCATCGTCGGCCAGGCCGTCAACTCTGTCAAGAACGCCGCCAACTACGTCTCTGAGAGCATCCAGGGCTCCACTGCTGAGGCCAACAAGGAGGCCAACAAGCAGCAGGCCAAGGGCAACGTCCCCGGACAGGACAGCATTGGCGACCGCATCTCTGGTGGACTCAACGCCGCCAGCGACAAGATCAACCAGGAGAAGCACGATGGCGCTGCCGAGGCCAACAAGCGATCCATCTAAGGTGTTTTGCTACTAGCTCGACATTTCACTTCGGTACGTTTTTTACTGCCATGGCGACTACTCCACTTCATGGGCCTACGCTAACACCAAGTGCAGATCCAGAACGATACCACTATGGGTTAAGCGATGAGCACTGCGTCTCTCGCTACTTTCATGATAATAGCATGACTTAATCGACACGAGATACCAATAAACTTCTGTCATCAATATTTCTGCTTGCCTCTTGCCTGTGCTTTGTGATTTTATGAAACTGTGAATGGTGTTTACTTTTTTCTTGTGTTTTTCCAACATGATTTCCTAATTGGGGTATGATTATGCAAGCTGGTTTTCCGGTAAGTACATCCACCGATGTTGATAACATGTGCTTATGACCAGAGAAGCTGTCTTCTCTTTTTACACTACCTGTCTCACGAATAATTAAACAGATTATAGTCAAGCCTGTTGGGATCGCCTCCAAGAGGTGCGAACATCATTGCAGTCTCTTGCGCCAAGTAAGCACTAAATTTTGTCCCTTGACCAATCACATTGCTCGACGCCCAACTACACCTCACCCCAACCCAACGAAAACCACTATCAATAATATCTGGATACCCATCAACTTGAAGCAAACATTACGCAAATTGGAAGAAAGCATTTATAGATTCGATAAAATATCAAAATTATGCGAGGTAGAGGTGCACATGAAGTTGTATAACGCAAGAGCTATGGATTCTTCTACTACTACGTTTGTAGTATTATAAAGTACTAATAGCGTTGCTTCTAAGCAGCGACGGATAATTATTATCCCCCTTATATCTTTAACTTGGCTTTCCATGGTGGTCCTATGGGGGAGAGGGGGATGATAACTTTATGAAACTCCTCAGCGTAGGTTCGGGTACATATTTCCTAGTATTTATATTTAATTTTCTGTTTGTAGATGTATAACTTTGATCGCCTTGCCAAAAAAAGAAAGAAAGAAAGGAACTTACCAATAGAAACGTGAAGAACATAAGTCATGTCTCCACGTTGAAAGTTCATAGCGTTGAGGCACAAGACTTCTCCCCAACCGTCCGATCCACCACCATTGACATTTTCATTCGGAGTCACAGCGATGGCTGGCCTGTTTGCGGTGCGGGGAGCCGTCATGCGCAGTTCGACGTGAGCACCGTACCAGCCGTACAGCTGCATTTCGACAATGGGACCTCCGCGCGTTCCTGCGGCCCTCCATCGCCACCTGTGGCCTGGAGTTCCGGTTCCCTCGGTCCAAGGAACGAGTGTGATGTCGTTTGCGTTTTGGATGTTTGACGTGATGTTGATATCGACTGGTGGGAGAGGCGCCGGAGGAGCAACTCTGGCGGATGTGCCGCTGTAACAAATTCCTCGTGGGATGAGATTGTTGATTGGCGTGCATTGGGCCAGAAAGGCCATGGTGGATAGAAGGATGAGAAAACGGTGAAAGATATGCATGGTGTTTGGGTTAGTTTGTCAGGGTGGAGCAATTGAAGTTTGTGAGTTTTGTTTGGTGAACAAGCTCTGCAGCAAAAGAGTTAGTGACAGTGACTCTTTTTTTATACTGCTAGGCAAAAATAAAGAAGGCTCGATCAATAGTAAATCAGAGTAAGAAACACTAAGACGGAAATTGCTTGCGGTTATGCGAGGCTCCACATCTGATGCTTTTCGTATTTCTCAGGTACCTTGGAGGACCAAAGTAATCCATAATAGGGCGGATATGTAATTTCCGTTTCGTCAGCTTTGAAGTATCCCCAAAAGGCTCTATCTAAACCTGAAATGTATAGATATTTACCTCAAGCTGACCTACAAATCGGTCCTTGTGTTTAGGGTTATACCCAGATAGACTTAGGTCCTCCTTTTGGCACCGACTTACTATGAGTACTTTCGTTGCTACTGACGTCACTTCTTACATTATCTTTCTGAAGACGGTGTGACTCTACCTCACATAATACAGAAAAAAATCTTTTACCGTGCGGTATTAAAAAATCTAAGCAAATGAAAAAGTGTACGGTAGTTCTCTCACAAGAAGAAGTGTGAGAAAGGTATAAAGCTTCGCCCGTTTTTGCTCCTTCTTCTAACATTCATCACGATATCTTCAACAGAATTGACCAAAAAAGCATACTACTACCATGTACTCCTTCATCCTTCTTACGGCTGCTCTCGCTATGCTGCCTTCGGTCCAGGCTGCCCCCAAGGGCGACGAAATACAATCTGGCTATTGGATTGAACTTGATTGTTATGTGGGCAATGTTCAGATTGACGGCCGCTTCGTCGACAGCGACCGCAGTCTCAAATATGACTGGCAGCTTACCCAGCAAAACTGTGTCAACAACTACAAGGGTCTTGTAAGTGAAAGCTAAAACAACTAAACAAAACTTTTCAAGTGTACTTGTTAACAATTCTTAATAGGCAAACTACGATAACGGCAAAGGCCGAGTAAGGAACATGAACTTTCCCAATTATTAAGAAATATTGCTAATCATATTGAAGTGCATCTCTATTAGCCCCGATGGGTTGAGTGGTAAAAACTGGTGGAACAATTGCGTCAAGCAAGCTGCTAATGGATGGTACGACGTTGATCCCGTAACCGGCAACGTTGTCGTCTCTCACGATCCTTACAAAAGTAACTGGGCCGAGGGTCGTGGATATGGGTATTCCGGTTAATTCCCCCCCCCCCCCCCCAACTACGTTTTCCAGGCGGCCTTTTGGAAAATTAAGAATCCTCGGTGTGTTCGCCTTGGGCCACCCTAAATTCTAATAGGCACCATCGTTTTGCTCTAGCTAAGTAGAGAGAGAGAGAGAGAGTTATTATATAGATGGCTACGTAGCTTAGAAGCTTAGCTATCTAAAAAAATATATATAACGTCTCTTATACCTTATATTTACCAAGTATATCCTCTAGATTCTAGACGTATAAGATAAAGGGTAGTGAAGTAGAACTTAGTATTCTCTGTAGCTATCTCGCTCGCGCCAAGCCAGAAAGCAAAAACGATGATCGACTAACCTCTCTACATCCTCCAAACCTAACCCCCCATCTTTCCTAGACACCAAAGTCCTTATTCTATTATTTACAGTGCCATTGCGAGTAGGCGGTTTGAAAGAGGAAGAGGTTAAGGTAAGTCAGGAGAGTACGAAGGGGGAGAAGAGGGTAAGTGCCCTACTCGTGATCGTCAAAGGCATTCCGCATGATGCGAGCGATGCTAGGAGCGAAGCCCTGCTACAAGAAGCTGAGTCGTTGGCTCGAGGCGTGCTGGAAAAGCAGGCAGTCACTGAGATCCCGCACATGGCCGCGTGGCGGAAAGCATAGTACAAGAGTTTTGGGGCTAAGCCAAAGAAAGAGCGGTGCAGTCTCGAGTCCCTGATGCGCCGTGCAGAGGGCGGGTTACCGCGCGTCAACCGGCTGACTGACATTTACAATGCGATTTCAGTCAAGTACCAGATTCCTTTTGGCGGGGAGGACTTGGACAAGTACAGCGGACTTCCATTGTTGATTCGGGCTACCGGCCAGGAAGCGTTCGAGACCTCTGCAGCTGGCGAGAAAATTTACAGAGCATCCGCCAGCTGGAGAGGTTGTGTGGTGTGACGAATGCAGGAGTGACCTGCCGTCGCTGGAACTGGCGCCAGTGCTCGCGAACTGGTATAAGCGATTCGACAACTCGCGTTCTGTTTATTCTAGATGCACTGGAGCCTTGTGTGGATAGCAATCTGGAAGCAGCAGCTGACGAGCTCGTGGCGACCTTGCGCGGCCTATCGCCAGATGTGCGCGCATCTCGCCGGCTCATTCGGCCTTGATAGATTGTATATGCAAACGCCATTCTTTCTTGCCTTGCAAGCCATCTTTTACATTTGTAAATACGAATAATACACATGAGATGAGAAGCTTTAAGCAACCTCCTCAACATAAGAAAGAAAGAAAAGACTTTTGTTAAGACTTTGAACTGCGCATGTGATTCCCGGCAAGCATTTGCTCGATATATTCATTCTCTATTGTGGGACCCGGCAAATTGGTCTAGCGAACAGTCTTGTTGCTTTCTGATCTTTTATAGTACCGAAAGAAGCAAAACCTTGATTGATTTTCCACTTTAAACTACTTGTGTGCTTCGGCATCCTTTAACTCTCCTCTGGCCTTCACTAGGCTGGCCATCTCACTGCCAACCTCCGACTCCAATGCCAGAAAGCCTTTGACAACGCCTTCGCGGTCGCCCTTGGTACTCTCTTGGCTCATCTTGAACTTGCCTTCGAGCCGATCAATCTTGATTTCAATGCCAATAATGGCTTTCTGTAGCAACCCAATGTAACTTTCCGGCGCATCCCTCACTTTCCAGGCGTCTTGCCTGCCTTCCTTGCCGTCGAAACCCATGATGGATGCCTCGGCATGCTCGGACAGATCATGTATCTGTTTCGTCAGGAACGCGCCTGTTTCTGGGGCCTTTGAATCGAAGAATATTTTTGCTTTGCCGTAGACCTGTGCGGCTGCGTAGTTCCAGGTCGGTACCACTTTGCCTGTGTCTGGCTTGGTCTCTGTGTAGAACTTGGGTGTTACGTAATGATGTGCTGCTGCTGTAAAGAGGACGAGAACTTCTTTTTCCAGAAAAGAGCCGTTGGGTTTGGACTCGGCCTCGAGGTTGTCAATCATTGTCTTGCTTTGTGGGTTGACCCGAGCAAGATGGCCGCGAAGGGTGCCAAGCTCAGTCTCGCTATCTTCATCTTGTACATCTAGAATCCATGGAATATGGCTTGATAGGATGAAAGGATGATGCTCTGATGGGATGGCTGTGGTGAGAACACCCAGCGGATTACTGCGAATAAGCTTCCGCAAAGTCGTGATGGATGTTTCTGCATGAACGGCTCGGAGATACATGATTAAACGGCTGTTGGAAAACTGTACAGGAAATCGAGTATTGCTTCTTCCTGGTAGATGAGACGGTAGCCTGGAGCTAGAAATATGAGTAATGTCTTACTACTGATTGGACGCCAATCAGAACGCAATCGCCCACATCTCCGAGCTTGAATGTTTTTAACGATTTGCCAGGGAAGTACTGTCGCTCTCTATAGTGTGAACTCGTTGATCTGAATATCTTCAAGTCCCCTTTCCAACATACTTTACATCTTTGCTCCACAGCTCTACGCCACCACTGGAGCACGTTACTCTTATGCATCTATACAAATCGCTCATTATTCAATCCCATACTTACAATTTATATCTAGCTAGAGTCTGTGTAGTTTGCTCAATCTTTTACTTAAGTTTAAGGCTCGTCTATCGTTGGGTAGAAGAAAGAGGCTATATGTAAAAGAAAACAAGCCTGTTCTCCCCCGTTACCGAAGCGAAATTTAAAAAACAGTGCGAAAGGGACTCATATTCTTTTAGTCTAAGAAAAGCTCCAAATGCCCATTCCAATGTATGCTCTAACTGTCACGAAGAATACGAGGCTTTTTATGAGAAAGTGCTTTGCCTCTGTGGATATGTGTATCGGGTTGAAGTTAGGATGCATTATGTTTATAATAAGGAAAAGAGGAAGCTTTTTCTCTTAGACCAGAAGCTCGAGATGGAGTGTAGGTTTCCTCTAGCTATGACATCCATAGGGAGTAACATCTTTTATGTAACACGGATTGAAAAAAAACGTATACCATTCCTCACAGCAACATCCAGAAGCTGAATAGCTACAACATCCTAGGGTCTTCCCTTCACACCAACATCCTTACCAATCTAAACACTCATCACATAACTCACAGCAGACAGTAGAAGAAAACGAGGGGGGGTATCAAGTTCGATAAGGAAAAGCTAACAAAAAACATGGGGTATTCCAACTGTAACAATAACACCACTGGCTTCCAAAGCACTCAACCCCTCTTCCCTCTTTCCTCTTCCATCATAGGTATCTCCTTATTCCGCATTTCATTCCAACATCTCTCAAACAGTGCTTAGTGTGCTTAGGGAGTAGGCGATATAGGATCAGTGTGATACGAAGGCGGAGCCGGAGACGTCGAGCTGACGTCTTCGGTATCCGGATCCGTAGAAAAAGAAGAACAAGAAGAACAAGATTCTGAGGACGGAGATAGGGGACGTGTGGTGGAGTTGTTGTGGTTGTTTGGGCAGCAAAAAGGACAGCAGGTGGTGGATATGGGGACTGTGACTGGGAGGAAACTGCGGGAGATGGGTCGGGCGCGGGGTGTCGTGTCGATGGTGGTCGTGGGGGTTGGAGTGTCGGTAACAGAGGACGATCTAGATGTTGTCGACTCGATTGAGGCGGTTGTTGGACCCCAAGCAACCGTCTTTGTCCCATCGCTCAACGGCGCATCTTCGATATCTCGGATGCGGAACGCTCGAACGCGCTGCTAACCGTGGAAAGAAGAAAAGTCAGTATAAAGGTCAAATCAAATCAACCCTTTGCCTCTCTGCCTTCCCCACACCCTCTACTTCTCAGAGAGCAACACGAGGGGGAGAGGAAAGGGGACACCTAGACGTGCTGCGGGGCCCGTCCGGTATGCGTCGTCCTTGCCTTCCTCGCCCTCCAAAACAATCCCGCACCCACAACCGCCGAGATAAACCAAAGCACCACATTCGTTAGCAGGACCCACACTCCGTTCTTCATCCTCTGCACGCCCTTATTTCCCTCCGCATCCTCCCCGATATACATATTCCCGAAAATTCCAAACGCCACAATGTAGCAAACAAACACCACTACGTCCACCGCAAACAATAGCACCATGCGCCCCAAAAAGGGGATCATGAAGAGGAGGGAGACAAAGGCACCGAGGGCACCGCAGAGGGTAGCCCAAACCCACTTTGAGTCGACGTATTTGCCTTGCTTGCGTGCGTTGTCGAGGTCGACGGCGTACATGCCGATGACGGTGAGACCCATGACGAATTGGAAGAGGCGAAGGATGAGGCGCAGGATCGTGGCTGGGGTAAAGGTGCTGCGCAGGGTGGTTCCAAAGGTGGCTTTTTCGCCCCGGAGAGTGCTATTCGAAAGGAATTTGAAGGCCATTTTTTTAATATAGTGAGACTGGGTGGAACATGTTAGCGTGGCTCAGATGGTAGGATGTAGGTGGAGAAGACTTACTTTTCGTTGTTATTGGGGGTTTTGGATGGTTGGGCTCAAGGCGAGTTTATATTTTGTTAGGATTGCTGTGGTGGAGAAGGCGGGTGGTTGGATGCTCCTTCTAGATGGTAAAGGTCGATGGGAGATACAGCGTTTTTACTTCCAATGACGAATTCACACCGCTGGTTTTCCTTTGTGATAGATGTGGGTATTCCTTTTTTCTTCTCTTTCTTTCTTTCACGCAACTACGCCCAAACAACGTAGTGGCTTTTTTCTTGTAGTACTGTTTGCGCGCTCTTCACAGAGTCAAACAGGATCGGTGATCGGGGGATGTTGCGACCAGATGTGGGGGGTGGGCGGGAGGGGGAAGGTTTAAACAAGGTAGCCCAGGCTATGACGTCGCTTATCGCTTGCCTTGGAGCGGGATGTTGTCTTTTGGGACCCTTTTTTTGCCAGGGCCCGATGAGTTAGGCTATTTCCGTGCTACGATCTGCAGGGCGTGGGTGGGAGGATGGCTAAGTATCGGCGCCCACAAGGTTTGCAGGCAAGGGGGATCCTAGACAGGCTGACGGGATATTCAGGAGAAGGAAACGCTGTACCGACTATCAAAGTCGGCAGTTT